AAAATTCAGCTTAAAGAATTACCATAAATAATATATTGGATGAATTGATCGTTGGGCCATATTTTATGAATCAAAGGTAATCATCACCATCTAACTATCATGGGAATTACCCTTAAGTTGATATAATTATGGTTTAATTAGCTATAATTGTATATTAATAATATATATCTTATATAGCTGTAATCTACCTACGCATTAATAATCACATGGTACTTAGATGGTGAAGATTACATTGATATTGGGGCCATATTAATTAGGTACATAATCGAATGATATAAGCTCATCCCTAAATATATAAGGGATTAGTATGGAATAATGCCTAAATTAGGAGAGTTATTGGCCATACATTTGATCAACTAATATGTATTAATATCTACAATGATAAGGACTCATTATCAAATTATAAGCTAGTAAGCACTGCTAAATTACCCAACATATTGGAGTGCCACCATACATAAGATTATAATGGTAAATAGCTAAATAGCCATGTTGGGTTATGGAGGATATGCATTACATCATAACTATATTTCATCTTAAGGTCATCGATAGTTTAATTATGGTTCTCAATATAGTTGATTTCTATATCTCAACGGAGCTACTATTGTTAATCCGCTTGATAGTCTTATCAACTATTGGAAGTACTCTTTGATTCAGAGTAAGAGAGAAGTCCCTAGTATATCCCCAAGCTCCGTGGTTCCCTCTATATCTAAAAGTATAACAATAGGGATAATATTATTAATGTGATAATTATAAGCAATACGTAACTCCATCCTTGTACTTTCGTTCAGTTACGTATTGCTGCATGAGCATAGCACTTATTAGTCTATCCACATATTGTCAATGTCCATTTTTGATAATGCTATGACTTGGGACATTTAATGATATCATTTATGTACATTAGTGTTTGTCTCGTATCTTTCGATCAATCCTTGTGCAAATGTATATCATAAGGACTTCTATCTAATTCTACTAAATTTATCAACATGTAAACATAAGAATTAATAGAATGACTTCTTTAATTATTATCAAAATAAATGATGCAATGATAAATTAACTTAAGCCCATCCAAACATGATTTTATCTTGGACACCTTTACTAACATGATGAAGTAGATATATAGGAATGAGAGTTTCATTAGAATAGGAGTTGATGAAACTAAATTAGTAGAGGGTAAAAAGTTGAGAGAGATAAGGATAAAGTAGGGGTGTTCATTCGGTAATTCGGTTCGATTTCGAACTTTTTTGACCGGTTTTCGGTTAATCAAATTGTCTAAAAAAATAACCGAAATCGAACCGAATTATTATTCGGTTTTTCGATTCGATTTTGAAATATACCGATTTTTTTATTTGGTAATTCGGTTTTCACCTTTAATTAATACTCAATATCATATGTTGATTCGATCAATAACTTCATTAGAATTGCATCAATTTCATGATCTCAACATTCATTCAAAGATCAACTTTTTTTAATGATAAGCCATAATAACACATAGACCCCATCCAAATTTTAAATAGACTACAATGCTACACTATTTTCTACACTTCAATAATGAAAAAGCAAGAATGTCAAACAATAATTCAATTTCAAGTATTCAACAAAATAAAAAGTTAAAAACAATAATTTAAGTATTCAACATTCTCAAATTACCAAGTAACATAAATAATTTATAAAAGTAAAAGCAACAAACCAACAACAAGAAGCCAACAATACAAAACTAAGTCACTAATAACTTGCCAAGTAAAATAATTCAAAAAACTCCCATAAGTTACAACCACAAATAGACAAGTTCAAGGCTTCAAACAAAAGGTTCAATAAATGACAAATCCTACAAAGAAAAGAAAAAAAATGCCAATTCTATAAAATATAAAGGCATTTACAAACATACATGGACACACACAAAGATAATTCATTAGAAATTTACCCATGTCACTCAAAAGATCAAACCACCATCCATTCATCATATATCTATCATAGGTGCATTCGTTGATAGTTTTAATAAATCTGAAAAAAAAAATCAACACTTTAAGTCTTTAATATTAATTTGGAAGGAAAAAAGACAAATGAAAATATAAGAATTGAAAAACTTACCGACTTCAAGTTTCTCAACATCTTGCAAATCTTCTTCAGTAGTAATTGGCATTGAATTTTGAAGCCAATCTTGAGCACATACGAGAGCTTGCATAATGCTAGGAGTTAAAGAACTCCTAAAGGCATCGAGAACTCTTCCTCCGGTGCTAAATGTTGATTCTGAAAGAACGGTAATATTGAAACCGCTAACACATCACGAGCCATTTTTGAAAAGATAGGAAACCGAAGAGAATTTTTTTTCACCACTCCAAAATAATAAAATTTTCATCTCCAATTTCAACAGATTCACGAAGATACTTATCCAACTCTGATTTTTTTTATCTTCATCTTCACTTTCATTGAATTTTTAAAATCGCGACATCGTCGTAAGCGTCTTGTTTTTTTTCTTCATGGCATGATTGGCATCCGTTCCATCACTTACACTTGAAATTTCCATAATCCCATTACTTTGACCACTAAGGCCTTGATTTGGTGATAAATTGCAATATGAAGCATACAAGGCATATGTACGTTCTTTCATATCATTTTTCATCTTTTCTCCAAGGCAATCACCATGTAATTCGTTTAATGTAAATGCAACATAAGTAAGTTTATGTGTTGGATCAAACACGACTCCAATATAAATCAACTTTTTCATTTTCTTCATATCCCCCCAATACTTATCAAAATTTTCTCTCATTTTACTAGCCATTGAACAAGTATCATCATCGGCACACTTTTGCCATTCTCTCAAATCAGCTTCAAGCGTACAAATTTCATCAAAATAATTATTAGAAGTGACATATGAATGACTCGAAACAGAAAAAGTAAGGTCATAGAAATTTTTCAATATTGTCGTCATTTTCCTACAAGTCCTCCAATCTCCAACACTAGGTGGCCCAAATGCCCCATCACCAAGATCCACATTAAGTTCAATACTATATAAATGATTAATTTGCTCATATCTCTTAAATGCTCTCTCAAACTTTTGAGCTGAATCTAATATCAAATAAATTGAATTTCATCTAGTTGAAACATCTAGATGTAATAAACTTTTAGAATCAATCTTTTCAATCTCTATGGATTCCTTAAATTTTCTCAACCTAGCGGGAGATTGTCTAATATATCTCACAACTTGCTCGAACATGAAGGATCGAAGGATTTGCATTTTTTAACCCATCGAAACAACAAGATGCAAAATATGAGCCATACACCTCATATGAAGTAATTCTCCATCTAAGATGCTATTACCCTAATTATTCAAAACATCTCTTAAATATCTAATCATCACATCATTTGAACTTGCATTGTATACGGTAGTAGTGAAAAATTTTTCAATTCCCCAATCAATCAAACACTTTTCAATAGCACTACCCAAATCAATACCTTTATGACCATTAATCGGACAAAAATTTAGAATCTTTTTATGCAACTTTCAATCATTGTCAATAAAATGAGCTATTAGACATATATAATTAATTCTTTGAATAGACAATCATGTCTCCGTAGTAAGACAAACTTTTTGACAATTATTTTTCAAAAATTGGTTCAACTTTAATTTCTCATACGCAAAAAGTTGATAGCAATCTCTTGAAATAGTAATCCGTGATGAAATTTTAAACCTAGGTTGTGCATTTGACATAAACCACTTAAACCCCGCATTCTCTACAAATTTGAAAGGAAGTTCATCCACAACAATCATGTAAGCTAAAGCATTTCTAATGCAAGTTTGATCAAACTTCTATGTGCTAAGAGTGTTTTCTCCACTTTGAACACTTGAATTGGATTGAAGGTTCAATTATGGTTGGGTAGGGTCAAGCATATGTGGGTGTTTTTTTGCATATGGCCATATGAGATTTAAGTGCGAGTAGTACCATTTCTAGTAGGATGAGCAAGCAAATACCTTATCACGAGTAATTACATCTCCCCTTGATGTCTTTATTTTCATCTTCAAACTTTGTGAAATGGTCCTATACAAATGACCTTGACCTCATTGCTCTTCTCTTCATCTTTGTGCTCACTTGTGTGTTTGATGAAAAGCCAACAACAATTGTATCTGCTGCTCGACTCAGTTCGGATGAGCCGAACTCGCAACTTCGACATCCGAGGATCCTAACATCTACACAAATTCAAGAATATATTTAATTAGAAATGATTATTAAATACAAGTTTATAGTGTTAAAAATTTAAATTTTAAAAGTTAAAACAAGTGGGTATTGTCCATCGTCAATCGGCCGACCACAAGCCTATCGGTCCGTGCCCGTTGGCCACTCGCGAGCCGCAGGGCCTACCGGCCACTTGTAGTACCCAAAATCCCAAATATGAAACATTAATTCAAGCTCTATTTCAAGCACATACCCATGGTACCCACAGTACCCAAAATTTCACACATATTACAACTCTATTCCCAAATATGCTTACCCAAAGATGAAACAAAATTGGTCCACCATAAAACTAGATGGAAATTAATAACATAAACTCTAAAAGTAGATAGAAAATTGCTGCATAAACATAAAGGCACTACAGAGGCCATTCTATTTCCTACCCAAGCTTAACAATTTCCAATATTTGACAATTACAATAGAACCAAATGAATCGTTATCTTTTTGCATTAGCACAAACTACGGGGTAGGATAATAACATGTAACGGAACCAAATAAATCGTTATTTTTGGCACAAACTACGGGTTTAACATCCAAAGCAACATTCACTTCCATTTCTTGGTAATAATATAAGAAATATCATGGGCAAAACAAAGGGACAAAAACGGATCCTCGATGACTACCGGAGTTTAGCATCATCTACCCCGTGATAGATAATATGCGATTGCTTTAAATCACTAATAAAATGTTTGTGCAATATGCCAAAGGTCCGACATTTAACCAAAAAAAAAAATTGACCTTTTGAGTTTTGATTGGATTGGGTAATGGGAAATGCTCGAACCGTGGATGGAGGAGAAGGAGGAGGAAGAAGGTTGTGGGAACCGAATTGAGGTCCGAGGAGCCGAGGAACACCGATTCCGTCACTCTGGAGGAGGAGGATGGATGAGTCTCCGACGATTGGCACCGTCGTCCGCCGAAGCCCGAAGTGAGTGTGTGGAGAGTTTGGAGACCGAAGAAGAGGAGAAGTGACTAAGTGAGGATCGAGGAGAAAGGGAGTTTTAAGTTTTGTGGAAGGTTGGAACCGGAAGCGGGATTGCGGGAGATCCGTGAAAGAGAAGAGTTAAAAGCCGGTGTCAAGTGGATCCGTGAAAGAGAAGGATTGTAGGACTTAGGGTTTTGATGTTTTGTTACTTTTGTAACTTACTAACTTTGCTTAAAATTCGATTTCCAAGTGAAAACCGAATGTATTTAAAAAATAATCGAACCGAACCGAAATTATTTCGGTTTTTCGGTTCGTTTTTTTTTTAATTTTTTTTTAAAAAATGAACCAAAATTGTTAATTCGATTTGGTACGAGTTCGGTTTTGATTTTAACCGAATAGTGAACACCCCTATCCACACCAAATAAAGACTAAAATAAAATCCGATTACAATTACGAATCCTTATATAAAAAAGATAAATAAAAAACTACATTAAAAAAAATTATACATTTAGCCCAAATAAATTAGCTTGAAATCCTTGATTTCAAGTCCAATTTCACACTTTCTTGTCACGTACCGAGAGGGAGGGAGGGAGGGAGAACTACAATTTTGTCCAAGCTTTGAATTTTATTTATTTATTGATTTATTTTGAGTACCCACAATCATCTGAAATTAAAAAAAAAAAAAAAGAACATCCACATTGCATTTTTTAAGTGCCTTGTGATAGTTTTAACTGACACATAATCATTCATTCTGAGTACATAGCATTTCATGCTCTTGGACAACAATAGATATTAAAAAAAAAAAAAATATCACAGTTTAAGCATTAAAATAAAAAAATTTACCGATTAGACACCAAAATTGCAGTTTTCTCCTTAGTGTTTTCAGACTCCAAAGAAACTTCAAAATGGGGACACTTCAAGTTGTGGAAAATTTTATGGTCATTTGACTTATTTGATGATGCATAGTAGCAAGCAATGCATATGGTTTTGCGCACAACCAACCAGATTTATGCGGTGTAATTGTCACTAAAATTGGGAGAGTTGTCCAATTTCATGTTCAACCTCACCTCCCGTACATATTTTCGCTTAAATATAATGGTGTTGGCGTTTAGGGAGTAATCCCAAGATATAATCCTTGCATTGAGGCACGCTCCGAAGTCCTGTATTCCTACCTATGTACAGAATTTTTCACAGCCAATGTTTGCGTACTTCGTGGCATATCAAACTATGTAAACCTATGATCAAGGAGAAGAAAGATGAACTCCTCCAGACAGAGCTCTCCCATAAGTGCACTGCCCACAGTTAGTCAAAGAGATGCATAATTTTGATTGGAGAACACGAGTTTTCGGATCATCAAGCCTTCTCTACTCAAGTATTACTTTTCTTCTCATGGTCAGGTGACTTGAGCATCTCTTTAGAATTACCTTCTTCTATACTCAAGTATTACATTCTTCCTTTCCTCCCTCGTGTCTCTATTCGTCTTGCAAAACAAAGAAAACACCTCATCCATCCTTTCCCATCCTTTGTACCAAACATACCTTCTTTGCAATGCCAATAGTGTTTTTTGAAGCTAATTGTTCAGTCCCCTAAAAAGGGTCCTCAAATTACAATATTGGGACAATGCTAAACATAACAAAAAACTACTATTAACGTCAAACAGCCAAACAAACTCAAGTAGATGAATATGGCTTTTTTAGTAGGGATGATAATACAAGTGAGGCAATCAAGAGATGCTTTTGACAATCCATTAGAAAAGACAGAAAGAAAGATTCACTTAAGTCAACCTTCAAAAACTCATCATTCTAGAACAAAAATTCAAAGAAAGACTCCAGATTTACTAGAGCAGGACTTTCTACAATCCAAATCAACTAAATCAAGCTTTCTAGTAACAAATAATTCCACATTGGAATGTCAGGCCACAGGCTCACATGCGATGATGGAAAATGGATGTGAGCAAAAAAATGAAATGCAGGCATCAAAATTTACTAAGCTCAAAAGGAAATTGGGTCAAATTAGACATTGCTCAGGTTGAAGGTTTGTCAATTCTCACAATGAACAAACAAAATCAGCAACCAAATGCCAAAAATATTAGCAATAACCAGCTAGCCAATCAACTAAAACTATATATTTTATCATAAACTAAATTGGGGATGGACTCAATCAAAAAGAAAAAGGAGTGAATGTTGCCTAAATGTTTAAGAGTTATTTTGTTACGAGTACAAAATAATTGAAATATTACAAATTTTGAAATACAGAAGAAAAGAAAAGGAAAGGACCACCTGAAGCAGAGACATGATTGTTTGATGGCCTTCTGCACTGAATTTGTGGAGCTTTAAGGCAATAAATCATTGTTCTTCTGCTGCTGTTGTTGTTGTTTGAGGATTGATTTTCGCTCTAGTTCTCTCCATTTATTGATTCCAACTGTGCAAATAACTGCCAAATAAACCAAAAACAAACAAAACTAAGCAGATTTGAATTGAATGATAGAGAGATAGCATAAATTTAAGCAGCAATTACATCCAGCGCCAACGAAGTAGAGCAGACGAAGAACCTTAGGGCCGGCAGGCCCTGCTGCTGCCTCTTCTATTGTCATTTTCTCCGACAAACCGAAAGGAATTCCCTTGTCTCGTGTTCTCTAGTACTAGACAGAGCGTCCTTCCCCTATCAAGGCACACAACAACTTGTCACTTGGCTTGGAGTAAAAAAATATATCTATCTATCTATCTATCTATCTATCTATACATATAATGAAAATAAAGGACAAACTTTGTAGAGGATTAGATTTAATCCAAATAAGCTCAGTGTTTCATGCCTTTTGTTTGAGACATTAATGTCAACACTAATTATGTGACAATGTGTTTAATCATCATCATCTATATATAGGTTAATTAATGTGGTTTATGATTAGTTTACAAATGGATGCAGTAAATTGGATACAACTGTATTGGATTCAAGCATGGAAGTATCAAGATAAGCAATACTGTTAGGAACAATTTCCCAATGCTCAAATTAGACAAGAATAGTCTCTGTCAATTGAGATAACTTCCAACCAACCACTTAAAGATGGTCCATGTTATCATGAGCCAACGGTACAATGCCAGTTAACCGAAAAACAGGTGGCCTAACAGGCCTAGGAGCAAGAGATTGCCTCCAAAGAAGCCACTGCATCCCTTGATTCATAGAAAAATCAATAACATGAACTTTGTTTTCCTTTCAAATTCTTCAAGAATTACTTGATTGGCCGTGAAGGGAGCGAATTTGAGACAAGGGAAGGTCTAATAAAAGTTTACTTGGAAAGTCCAAGTAAAATATCGTTTTGCAGAGAGACGTTCCTATTTCCAGTTTGATTATCTTTATATTACTACTCCATGGATCATAAAAAACACAAATTATTAATTTTGTTAATTCGATCCATGAATTGATGATTCTAAAATCTAAAGAAGACAGAAAATAGGGTACTCTAAGCAAGCTCATCATCCCACAAACAACATGCCCCGCAATTTATATGGAAAACTAAGCTAAACAAAAAACTCCTAAATCACACACCCCATTTAACGTATTTGGGGTAAACCCAGAAATCCAATCTAAAAATGGGATTAAAACACTCATCACAATATAATCTTTTGCTCAACCACTGAGCTCATAACAAAGACAAAAACCCTATCTCTCACCTACTTGGAATCAGTTCTTTCAAAAGTATTGAAAACCGAGAGAAAAGAATTAGTACCTTGAGTGCAAAATCTTCTGCTCTTCAGCTGGAGAAACAATTGCCGAAAATCTTCTATTACTACTGGGTTTTCATTTTTTTATTATATAAAATTCACGAAAAGAGATTGACAAACATTAAACTTGGAAAAAAAAAAAAAAAAGCAGGGTAACTCTTCAAATCCAAGAGGAATTGACGATTTTGACCTAAACAGTATACATTGTGCACAAAGAGCTAGTTGAGTCAAACCTTAACTCAACTTTTAACTTATTTGAAATTTAGTACCGAACTTCAAATTTAATTTCTTCAACTTTTTTTTTTCGATTTAATCCATTTAATAATTTTGAGCTATTGCTCTCCCTTTTAAAAAAATTTTTATTATTGATATTTTCAGGTAAAATTTTGAACATATATTGAAAAAAATCTAATACATTTATTTAAAAAAAAATCCAAGAATTTTTCAAAAGAAAAGTTTATTTATTTATTTTTTTAACATTAAAAAGGTACAAAATAAGAAAAAATATAAAGAACCCAAAATGATGTCAAATTTTTAGAAAGGCTTATATAAATCTTATTGAATATATATTTTTTTTTCATAAAACTATTTATGTGATTGTCATTTTTTAGATAAATGATATAAAATTAAAAGATGAATCAAATCTAAAAAAAAAAAAAAATCTCAAGAATCAAATAATTCAAAAAATCAATTTCAAAATGAGTTAAAATTTAAGAAGAATTTGACCAATTTAACCTACATAAAATAAAGAAGGAAAAAAAGGAACTATCCTTTCCAAAACCACACATCTTAATTAACATTTTTTTTAATATTAAGAAAAAATATTAAAAAGAATGTCTTTATTTATTGATTCTTGATTGTCTTAATTTATCGATTCTCTCTCTCTTGTTGTGTTGCCTTGAATCATGAAAGCTTCTTGTTCTTGATTGTAACATCAATACTATTCAATCTCTCTACAACTCTCTCACTCTTCTCAAACATCAAATCAAGATTAATGCTAAAGAATTATTTAAGTAATTGAATTTTAAATCTTTTAAGATTTGGGTCAAGCAAGTGAGGAGACCAATCAGAGCTGAATAGCTAATAGCTCATGTAAGAGAATGCATGCAGTGGCTAATGTGTCTAGATCTAGATTACATGAAGAGGCTTGACCTTCTCTCTCCCTCTCTCTTATCGTGATGTCTTAAATCATGAAGGTTTCATGTTCTTGATTGCAACATCCACACAATCTGATCTCTCAACCACTCTCTCACTCTACTCAAACATCAAATCAAGACTAATATTGTACAATTATTTAAGTAATTGGATTGTAAATTTTTTTTTAACATTTGGATCAAGCAAGTTGGGGGACGATCCAAAGCCGAATAGCTAGTATCTCATGTAAGAAAAAATAATCTCTCTCTCTATATATAAACTGCTGATATAATTAAATTTGAGACCTAACTTATAAGGTGGGCTTAGGTATATGCATGAGATTTCAGATTTAACACTTACCTATGTATTTTTGTGACTAATACATAGTTGAAGGTCTCTTTTCCCAATATATGGAATGCGAAGAATCATACATTTAGTGATTTAATGTTTAGGACTCTGTTCGTAACTAGTAGCTAATAGCCAGACCGATTCCAAGCTGATTAAAACACAAAAACGAAATAAAGAAAACAATAAAAATAATGAAAGCATAAGCAAAAGAAAAAGAAAGGGAAAAGAATCTATAATTGTACTTTTTAATGTTTATTGTTATTTTAACAAAATAATAAGTAGAATGTGTGATTTTATCTTATTTGAGTGTATCATACTTGGCCATAAAACAATGGAAGGGCTTTAAGAGAAAATGGAAATATTGAGTGAGATAACTTACATGTTTAATCGATTGTTGTGTGTGTGTATATATAAAACAATAATAAAAGAAAGAAAGAAACGGCCTAAGCCCAAACACTAGGCACGTGCTATGCTCGACCGCCAATCTGGATTAAGCCAGATGTGCGGGCTGAGCATAGCATTTGGGGCAACATGTCGTCTAATCTTATAAGGCAACATGTCGTTTACTACTTCAACTTCCTCGATTGTTCCATCTAAATTATGGACCAAACCTGTATTGCAGTAACTTTTATTTTTTGATGGATGAAACTTTTCATGGATCAAAGAATAGAAGTTGGAGTGTTACTACTCACAAACAGCAACAACTGCACAAACTAACCATTTGCAATTGTTTTGGAGAAATTCCATCTACAACACGATCTTCCGCTATAGCATTCGAAGACGAACAATCACGCGAAGAGTTTTTTTTTCATGTTATTATTATTTCAAATTTTAATGTGCCACGTAAATATATGTAATAATTTCTAACCAATGACAGCTTACTATGTCACCAATTCAATTATCTAATTTAAGTTTATTATGACACGTGGTAAATTGTCGTTGATTAGAGTTTGCCACATGTTCTTATATGACATATTAGAGCTTAAAACAAAAACAATATAAGAGTAAAATTTTTAAATTAGATAAAAAAATTAAAGTCTCAATAAAAAAAGTTCAAATTGCATGGGACCTTAATATGTGCAAAACCCGAATAATATAAACATAGCACTAACAAGCAATTCGAAGATAAAATCAAAGATTGCCACCATTCATCTAGATGTTGGTATAGGTAATTTTTGCATCACTTTTGACTCTATCTCTTGCTCTATTTTTCAATTTTGGGAATTTTTAGTGTCAGTTGAACTATCAATTTTACCTCCTTTCTCTTTTCTTTTCTTTTCTTTCTCTCTTCTTCTTCTTCTTCTTTTTTTTTTTTTTTTTTTTTTTTTTTTTTTTTTTTAACAATGAAGCCAACTGAATCGAGTGGTGGGTTAAAAAATTCGATTCTTGTTTGGTACAAGGAATTAAACTAGATTTTCTAGATTAGTCGTTGATGCTGCTCTTGAACTTGCTTTCACATGGCCACGATGATCATATTTTTACAGTTTAACATGATAAAAACCGATACTTCAAAGAAACCGTGGCTGATTAGTTGCTTTTTCCTGCAGATGTGGGTTGGTTGAATTAGAAGAATATACTTTAGTAATATGGCTATTTTTTTTTTTCATTTTTTCCATTTGGAGGTCTACATTTGGTTTTATTTCAATTTTAGCATAAAACATTACATGTTAAATAAAAGTTAAAACATTGGTGTTTCTTAATTCATCAAAAGTGTTGGTGCTTAGAAGGTCGTAATATATAGTATGGAGTGGTTGAAGTTGCGTGTAATATGGTGTTTTACATGCATCAACGTGGTCCCTTGGACTTGGAATCTTATTGAAATCAGTTATTCCTGTGCGTTACTTTGATGGAAATAGAAAATCCTACACGACTTTCTTTGCTTTTATCTTTCTTTTGGTGGTTTATATTGTTCATTTGGATGAAATTTTATGATATGCACCTGATTGATGTATATATATATAGGCTCTACAGGTACCTTTCTAGTTACTGTTTATGGCTCTTTTCTACCCCGACATATATTTTATTGTCTTCATACCTTATGTGCATATATATTTGCGGTGCATTCTTGTTGCCCTTTGCGTGCTGTTCCTCTGGCCATCATTTGATGTTATATTGGCAGACCAGGTCTCTTTTGTCATCCCACTGTTGAAACTTAAAAGATTAATGAAGGTATTGCATGCTTTTGATATTCATATGAACTGTTATTTAGAGGTTTTAGCCTTAGGTTTCTTGCACTCTACTCTTGTTTATCCAGGTGGTTTTTTACTGTCATTTTCCAGATTTTTTCGCTGGCTCAACATAGTACTGTTCTCCGGAGGCTATATAGGAAACACAATCATTTCATTGAAGAAATTACAACTAGTCTGTATACAAATTCTGTGGTTTTTTTTTGTTTTTTTTTTTCATTTCACAGCAAATATCTCTTGGTGTTAACTTTGTCCCAGTTGAAAGTTGAGACTGCCAATTCTCATTGACTGCCCTTGGGGACTACCGGCATGACAGATATGATACTTGTTAATGGCAAATTCAGAGCATCTATGTTCGCAAATACATTCAAGCATCTATCTTCACGCGCAAGGAATCCGACCTGCTGTTCTTTACCTTGCTGTTAACGTGGATCAATTCGATGCACCTCATTCTTATAAGTAACAAAAATTATTGTACATCTGTTGCATCTTATAACTCTAGACATGATCTGGAAATGGCATATCAGAATTCCTTTCATTGCACTCTCCCACCAGTAGTTCAGAATCTTATTCACATCTGTTTCATGTAGCATAGGCCGAATTTTATCTTGATAAATCGCTTTGAAAGGAAAAAGTGCATAGAGTTGGCTGTTTCTGCCTCTGCCAGGCTTCACACCTTTGAAGAACACGCCCTTCGAAGCCAAAATCTTAACGAAGCTACTTTGACCATCGTAGGCAAGTCTCATCCTGCTTCCCTCCTGGGTTACATTATTAACCTACTTATATAGATGAGTTTGAAGATGATCCTTATACGTGGGACTTTATTTTCTCTTTATGTACCTTCCTCTCTTACAAAAAGAAGGGAGGGATCGAGGGAGTGGGGAGAACATGCAACTTCACCAAAGATTTTATCCATTGAAATTACACTTTAGATAATTTGCCATTTCCTGTAACTTTCTTCGAATGGGTGGAACGGATAGCAATATTTTGTTAAGGTAGCGAAATAATGGAAATTTTTTATGAGATGACAAGGTAACATTATTTTTGAGCTGTGGTTATTGGAATATTAACCTGATTTGTAGGGAAGAAAAATTAAACGTATTTAATGGCAATACCATGACTTTGCTCACTAAGCGCTAGCATGTAATTTGTCTTTCTAGTGGATATTGTTATTCACTCCAAGAGAGTGTTGAATACCTGGATGAACTTGAACGCCTGAAGAAAAGGGAAGGAGTCTCTCATCAGGTTAACTTGATTACATCCTGCTTAACAGCTGAAAGAGATATACTTCTTTCACAGTGCCTGTGTCATTTGTACTCCTAAGGTGTGATCCCATGCACTCGTCTGTAACATAATATATCATACTTTGAGATGAAATGAGGGTTTTAAATTAATTATTCAATAAATATAGGATGATCACTTTGACATCGTCCCATTGGAGGCAATGACAGCTTACAAGCCTGTAATTGCATGCAAGAGTGGGGGCCTGGTGGCGTCTGTTAAGGATGGAGGGACAGGATTTCTTTGTTACTCTACCTCTGAAGAGTTCTCTTTGGCAATGGCTAAACTCATTCAGGATCCGCAGGTGGCATGCAGGATGGGCTGAGAGGCCCAGAAGCATGTTGCTTAGTCATTCTCAACAAAAAAATTCGGCAGCTTTTGAATCAATATCTAAGAAGCATTACCGGCTGTAAAGAAGATTGAAAATAGCAAAGGTAGCTAGAAGATAATGATGCTATGGATATTTTTTTGACCAAATACAAGATTTTTTGATGGACAAAACCGTTGACCTCTTGATTAATGGTTAGAAAGAAAGATAATTTTGATAATCATCTTTTACATAATTATGTTTGAGAATTCAAACGCAGAAATTATGGGCTTATTCAAGAGCATCTTAATATTTGTCAATTTGTAGATTTTTGCGGATGCTGTATGAGATCAGAAACGATAAGTTTATTATGCTTCTTCATTAGTATGTTGACTTAAGTGTCCACAGATGTTACTTACGTGGAGAACACACCGATTTGGCTGACGGTTCAAGCCTGCTGTAAACGGAACATACTACATGGTTGGTGAATAAATTTGTTTTGCGCATTGCTAATTGCCTGCAATCAAATCTTACTCCCAAATGTAATGAGAGATGAAGGTAATGAGAGGGCTAGCCTCTTAATTTGTATATATCTAATAGGCCTTCCAATCCCATTGGCATCCGTTTGCCCTGCTTCTTAGGCACGACTATCTGATCTTTACTTTCTAGAAAATAAGAAAGTCAAACTAGTGTGTTTCATGAGTGTTGTCATGGGACCTAGCTTTGGGAATCAGAACCAATGAATGTTGATGCGTCGAAGCAATTTGAAAATTCGTGGCATTGCATTGTAGGACAAATTTGGCATTACACACGAGTACTTGCAAGCAAGCAATTCTCCAGCTTCGTACAGTAGGAGGCTAAATGTTTGTGCAATAAACTAAAAAGAATTAAATGGTATTTGGCAAGGCGCACCCATTTGATATGAACAATACGTATAAAGACAAGAGATTCAGACATTTTTGTTATTAGACAATTATAAGAACGAATCCAATCAAGTTATAATAAGTAGAATCCGACCTACAGCCTATAAGGAGGCAAGAACCGAAGCTACGATGCAATGGAGTGAAGAATATCACAGAGCTATGGAGGATGATAAGTTCAAAGACCCCACAAGGGTTGCAATCCTTGATAAGTCGATTTAGTTCGAAAAAAACAAAGGAAGAAAATCCTCTCAAATTTATTAACTCCCAAAATTATTGTATAAATCGAAACAAAACTAAATCAGCCTTTAAATAGGCTAAACACGCCACTCCTAACCTTAAAAGGACTCCAATCGTCCTTACAACCTAAAATGAATAGAAATAAACCCTAATGGACTTAAAAGCGTATGCAAATAATAGAGCTTAAAACATAAAGTCTAAATCTGATTTAATTAATTAGTTCTAATTATAATTAAGCTAGATATTAGAAAATAGACCCAATATGATTTAAGGAGTCCAATCTTGGACTTGGATCATATTGACAAGTCTTGGACCTCCCTTATTTCTTAAGATGGTGCCACATTGCTCCCTTAGGCCCTTACAAGTGCATTCCGCCCAACACTCTTGAATCAGCCTATGAAGAGCTTTTTGAAGCTTCTTAGCCCTAGTTTGTGTCATTGAACCATCTTTATTATGTAATGGATCAGATCTTGGACTTGTAAATTCATCATCTTGGACTCCGTAAATTTGCCATCTTGGACCTCCCTTAGAGACACCACCTTACCGGTCCATTTGGCTCTCCATCATTCCCTCCCTCTTTAAAAGAATTCTTCTTCGAATCTTCTTCATCAACATCTACATCAAAAGGATAGAGATCAAAAACATTGAAAGTAGCACTAATTCCATACTCATTCGACAAATCAAGCTTATAAGCATTGTCATTGACTCTTGCAACCACTTGAAAAGGGCCATCTCCACATGGTAATAACTTAGAATGCCATTGAGCTAGAAAACACTCCTTGTACATATGCATCCAAACCCAATCGCTTGGTTCAAAGATAACTTTCTTTCTCCCCTTATTGACATTTATTGCATAGTGCTCATTCTTATTTTTAATGCGTTACCGCACCTTCTCATGCAAGGACTTCACCAATTTTGCTTTCCTCGTACTATTTAAGCTAGAATACTTATCAACAGGAAAAGGCATCAAATCCAATAGAGTTAAAGGATTAAAATCATAAAGTATCTCAAATGGTGAATAACCGAGTAGTAGTATGCATAGTCCTACTATAAGCAAATTTAAGATATGGTAAACACTCTTCTCAATTCTTAATGTTCTTTTCCGTAATAGCACGTAATAAAGTAGAACGAGTTCGATTCATTACCTCGGTTTGGCCATCATTTTGTGGATGACAAGTAGTAGAAAATAATAACTTAGTTCCCAACTTACCTCATAAAGTCTTCCAAAAGTAGCTTACGAACTTAGGATCATGATCGAAATGATACTCCTTAGCATTCCATATAAATGTACTATCTCTCAAAAGAATAAGTCCATAATGTTGTTGGCATCATCCGTCTTATGGCAAGCAATGAAGTGCGCTATATTTGAAATCTTATAAATAACAACAAAAATGGAATCCCTCCATTTCATAGTCCGCGATACTCCCAACACAAAATTCATGAAAATATCCACCCAAGGTAAACTAGGAATAGGGAATGGTGTGCACAAGCCATGAGGTTTAACTTTAGATTTAGCTTGCCTACAAATCACACACTTCTCACAAACCCTCTCTATATCTCTTTTCATGTGGGGTCAAAATAAATGTTCACTTACAATAGCTAAAGTTTTTAAGACACCAAAATGCCCCATTAAGCCTCCCATATATGCTTTACGTACATCTAACTCTTTTAGATAGCTCATAAGCACGCATAACCTATTTTTATGAAATAAATGACCCTCATGCCTATTGAACTTCCCAAAAGTAGTATTCTCACATGCATTAAACACATGAGCAGAATTTAGATCATTTGCATAACACTCCTTAATATATTTAAATCTAAGCAATTTTGAATTTAAGTGTAGAGATTAGAGAGTACCTACGTGATAAAGCATCGACTACCATGTTTTTCTTACTTTGTTTATACTCGAATCACATATGAAAATGTTTCAATAAATTCTACCCATCTTACATGTCTATGATTTCGCTTTCCTTGCCCTTCAAATGCTTTAAGGACTCATGATTAGTATGTATGACAAACTCCTTAGGCCAAAGGTAGTGTTATCATGTCTCCAATGCTCGCACCAAGGCATAAAGCTCTTTGTCATACGTAAGGTAATTTAGGGCAACCCCGCTTAATTTCTCACCGAAATATGCTAAAAACTTCTTTTCTTGCATTAAAACTGCGTCAATGCTAATACCATATACATCAAATTCAACTTTAAAAGTTTTAGTTAAATCGAGTAATGTAAGTAAAGAAGCAGAAATCAACTTTTCTTTAATAAAAGCAAATATTTTTTCTTACTCATCTCCCCATTTGAATCCCATGCTCGTTCTTAATAACTTTAGTTAGTAGTGCCATTATGGTACTAGAATCTTTGACAAATCATCAATAGAAACTCACCAAACCTTGAAAGCTTCTCATATTGCTAATTGACTTAGGTATATGCCAATCCTTGATTGCCTTTACCTTTTCTTCATCAACCTAAATGCCTCTTGCACTAACTATAAAGCTAAGAGACACAAGCTGATCCATGCAAAAGTCACACTTCTTGAGATTAAAAAACACTTTTCTTTATGCAAAATACTTAAAACTTATTTTAAATGATTAATATACTTTTCTAAGGTTTTATTGTAAATCGGAATATCATCAAAGTACACTATAAAAAATTTACCTAAAACCGATGCAAGTATATGGCTCATAAGACGTATGAATGTACTAGATGTATCGGGAAGGCCAAACGGCATAACGAACCACTCATATAGACCATGTTTTATTTTAAAGGTCATCTTCCACTTGTCACCTTCACGTATTCTTATTTGATGATAAATAGATTTAAATCGATTCTAGAAAACACAAAAGCACCATGTAACTCATCAAACGTATCATCTAATCAAGGAATGAGATGTTTATACTTTATTGTTATTTTGTTGATTATACGCCAATCAACATATATCCTCCAAGTCCCATCCTTCTTAGGCACAAGCAAAACCGAAACAACATATGAGCTCATACTCTTATGCACATATCCCTTGGTCATTAATTGCTTGACTTGTCTTTGTAGCTCCTTTTTCTCCTCCGGATTACTTTTATAAGCTAGTCGATTGGGAATTTGCACCTCAGGAATGAAATAAATTTGGTTTTCTATCTCATGAATTGGTGGCAATCCATTTTTAAGCTCTTTGGGAAACACATTTTCAAAATCCTCTAAAAGAGACATAACTATACCGGGAAGAGAAGAGTTAAGATTATTAGTATTCAAAAACATTTTCTTGTACATACGTACAATTATTTTTTTGTTTTGACCGGATTGCTTTCCGAATCTTTTTTTCTTTTGCATAAAAACTTGCATTCTCTCTCTTTTACTCTTTTGGCCTTTATTTCCTTTTCTCTTTTGAATTCACGATCATAATGCCCTTTCCATTCCTTTTTTTCACTCCTTTCATTTTTATTTTCCTCATATAACCCCTCTTTTCTTCACTTTTTCTCAACCTCACTTCATTTTCATAAATCTGTTTCGGAGTCAAAGTTACAAGAGTTATATTTTCCCCTTAAAAAAAAAAGGTAACGATTTCTAAACCCATCATGCATGACTTGCCTATCAAATTGCCAAGGATGGTCTAATAACACTTGATCAGCTTATATAGGTACAACATCGTACATTACTTTATCTTGGTAACTACCAATAGAAAAGGATAAAACTACTTGTTTGATCACTCTAACTTCTCCATAATCATTAAGCCATTGAAGTTGATATAGCCTAAGGTGTTTAACATAAGTTAAACCAAGTTTCTCAACCATAGTAGTACTAGCAACATTAGTACAACTTCACCCATATATGATAAGACTCGTATATCTTTCCCATAACATGACAATATATGTAAAATATATTGTCCCATTGTTCCTCTTCTTTACCTTTCAATTGGATATTTAGGGCTCTCCTTACAAAAAGCATTTCTCCATGCACGAAAAACTCCATCCCATCACTATCATCTTCCAATGGTAGTATCTCATCATCATCCTCATGCTCATTTTTAGATTCATACATGCCATCTCGAATCATCATTGCTCGTTTATTTGGACATTGTGAAGCAATATGTCTCCTACCCAAATACTTAATAACATGATTCTTAAGAGTTTAGGTGCTTAAAGTACCTTTGTATTTGTTGAATCAAGAATTAGTTTTAGGCTTACTCTCCTTGAACTTTGGTTTAAACGTGGGTTTCTCCTCTTTCTTACTCTAATTGTTCTTCCAAGATGAAGAACTTACATTTTGCCCAATACGTGAATTGCTCTTATATTTGAGTTGCCTTTTAATTTTTCTTGCCAAATGTACCAACTCTTTCATTTCGATATAATGTTACAATTCCATAATGTTTACAATCTCATTTTTTAGCCTATCTAGAAATTGAGCTATAGTATTCTCTCGATCCTCCATAATATTTACAAGCATCATGGATATTTTCATTTCTTTGTAGTACTCATCTATTGACTTTGTACCTTGAGCTAGCCTTTGTAGATTTTAATGTAAATCTCGATAGTAATGATTAGGAACAAACAATTTATTCATAACAACCTTCATTTCATCCTAAGTTGTAATAAGATGCTCTCTAATTCTTCTTCTCTCCAAAACCATATGATCCCACCAAAAAATAGCATAGGATGTGAACTTTGCAGTAGTAAACTTCACCCTTTTTACCTCCGAATACTTATAACAATCGAATACAAATTCACATTTTCTCTCTCATTCAATATAAAAATCAGAATTTTTTTTTACCTTTGAATGGAGGGATAGTCGGTTTAAGTCCATTTTTATTGTTTTCATAATTATTATATCCCTATTCTAGCCTCTCAAAATAATGGCCATAATCGGGATGATCACTATCTTGGCTTCCACGTCCACCATGACCTCTATTGCTATGGCCACCTCTTGTATTTTGAACCAAAGAAGTACGATCATCAAGCTCTTCCTCAAACAGACTCCTCTTCATCCCGTACTCGCCTCCTAACGTTGGGAGTAGTTTGAACTATCTCATTTTGCCTTAACTCTATGGCTTCCATTCGATCATTAATATCCCTCATAAAGTGCATTAATTGACCCCATTGAGCTTGGGTCGCTTTTTAAAGTAATTTATTTTCAGCTCTCCCCTCCACTTCATCTCCAACCACTCCTTTTTGCTTATCTCCCATGATTAGAAACCTACAAAGTTAGAGAAAACAAGAAAATAAAAGCAATTGATAGAACCTCATAATAGCACTTCTTCACATACTTGCACTTATATAAGATGTCACTCACACTCGTGTTTATAGTCTTTTAAGGTATTGCTATAATGGTCTCATCCTCTTGCATTTTACCACTTTTATTTTCCCTATTAAGCTCTTAATCGAACTAATTAGACAAATCCAAACTACAACACAAATGGCGAACCGAACTTAACTCTTGAACTTAAATCAATGCGATCTTGTAAACTTCCCCACTCTCTCCTCAAATCATTCAATTAGGCTTTGAATCCCGGATTTTGATTGTATAAGTTACATTCATGTTACGAGTGCTTAGGCTCAATAATAGCTCGTTTCTTGTAATCCATTTAAAGATCACGTCTTGCTCACGATCCACAAGTCTAATTCGGTTTAGAATTTCAATTCTTGTCCCCTACATTCAATCAACAAAACAAACTTCTCTTTTGTAACCAATCGGATTGCTCTTTTCTTTCTTTCCTTTTCTTCTCTCGTTTTTTCTTTTTTCTTTTTTTTTTTTAATAATTGGCGAATATTATAATAATTCTTTCTTGTGGGAGCCTTAGGATGTTTTTTTTTTCAAATTGGGAATAAGAAGAAAAATTGAATAACAAGACGAGACTTGGATTAAACAAGACAACAACGAATGAGACATAATAGGATAGAAACAAATCGAGTCCTCCTTTTGCATTTTTTTCAATTGAAACCGACTCAATTTGGATTAAAACAAAATTAACTACAAAGACATAAAATAGAACAAAAGATAATGAAAAAAAACCCGATTTATATTGAAAAATGAAATTAACTACAAATCGGACTTTTTTTCTTTTTAAAAATATAAGACTCAATTTATCAAGTAAAGGAACATAAGACTTAAACAAGAGAAGCTATGGCGGAATAACAAGAAGACGTAACAAAGAAAAAAAGACGGATACAAAATAAAAGACGCAAGGATTATGGATAACCAACCTAACTTTGCACAACCTAAACTTTGATACCAATTGATGTAAATCCCAAGTATAAAGACGAGAGACCCAAACATTTTTTTTGCTAGACAACTTCAAGAGTGCCCCCAATCGGGTCATAATAAGCGAAACTCGACTCGTAGCCTATAAGAAGGCAAGAACCAAAGCTATGATACAATGAAGTGAAGAACGCCATACCCTATGGAGGATGATAAGTTCGGAGACATCACAAGGGTTGCAATCCTTGATAAGTTAGATTTAGTTTTCAAAAAAATAAAAGAAGAAAATCCTCTCAAATTTATTAACTCTCAAAATTATTGCGTAAGTTTGAAACAAAACTAAACCAGACCTTTAAATAGGTAAACACGCCACTCCTAACCCCGAAAGGACTATACTCATCCTTGCCACCTAAGAAGAATAGAAACAAACCCTAATAGACTAAAAAATATATGCAAATAATAGGGCTTAAAACATAGAGCCCAAATCCAACTTAATTAATTAGTTCTAATTATAATTAAGATAGATATAACAAAATAGGTCCAATATGATTTAAGGAGTCCAATCTTGTATTTGGATCAGATTGACAAGTCTTGGATCCCCCTATTCTCTTAAGATGATGCCACATTACTCTCTTAGGCCTTTATAAGTGCATTATACCCAACACTCTTGAATCGATCTATAGAGAGCTTTTTTAAGCTTCTTAGCTCTAACTCGCGTTATTGGACCATTTTTAATGTGTAATGGATCGGATCTTGAACTTGTAAACTCGTCATCTTGGACCTCTCTTGGAGGCACCACCTTGCTGATCCATTTTACTCCATGGTTTCCATCATTATTTTAGGATTATTTTATATTATATCACTAAACCAAACATCATTTTTAGAAATCTCAAGTTTTTTGGATTGGAATATCTTAATTGTTTCTATAATCTATCTATTTAGTAGCAATAACATTTGTGATTCATGCATACTAAATGCTGAACTTTCCTATGTTCTTATATTATATGTTATCTACTACTGCTGGACCTTTCTAATATGTCGGCCTTTGTGCAATCAAATCTACTTTGGTTGGTTTCATTTTCCATCCTCCCTCCGAATTTTAGCGCCCGCGTTTACGTTAGGGCTTACGCAGAATCAAGGAAATGGAGGCATAAGCTGGCCAAACAATCTCACCAAATACGTACATGCAGGCACTCAGGTAAAAGTTTAGTTCTTGATAGTTGTAATTATTACACATTTTTCATTTAAATTTGTCATCTAATCACTATTATTGACCCGTAAATTATCGGCTATAAGATTTTTTTTTTTTTTTTAATTCAAAGGCCGAAACGACAATATATATATATATATATATATATATATATATGGTCAGATTATTATTTAGTTAATGAGATCCATTTATTTTGATAAAATTAGCAATTGGTTTATAGAAAAGATGGAAAATATTATATGAATAGATTATGGTATGTCAAACAACTCAACAAAAAGGTTAATATACTTCGAATTTTCACTTCAAGGTTTCGGAATAGTCCTACTGTGCGATCCAATCAATATATTCCTATTGAGCCGCTTCATAAATCCAAAAAATATTGTCATCCGTTGGTCGAGGAAGGAAAAAAACACAAGTTTTTGTCTGTTTTTTAACATTAAATTATTTGATAATTTAGGCCTTCAAACAACTAGAAATATTGAGTATATAGCTACTTTAATTGTAGAAATGTCATGTAGTCACCAATATATCATGCACCATGCATGCACCAAGCAGAAAAGTCAGATGTCTGTCATTTTCACTTGCGTATTCTTTATCAAACAGTATATTTAGCCATGTCCAGTCTCTTATTAAACCTCAGAGAAGCAAAACTTTGCAGTGTACCATATAGGAAAGTTGATATGGCTACTGAAGAGGTAGCTCCAATTAAAAAAGTAGGAGATAAATACAGGTCTTTCTTGCATGAAGAAACTGAGAATGCCACACACTGGATGCCCCCAACCCACACCACCCCCCCCCCCCCCCCCCCCCCCCCAAATTTTGATATGGTAAATCAGCTCTTTGAAGAAGGCCGAACTAAGGTCCTTAACGTTCTTTATACCTCAGTGCAGATGCTTTTTTTATGTACGTATGTTCCGATATATGTTTATGTCCCAGCAATTTTTTTTGGTCTCATTTTCTATGTTTAATTGATATATGGTTCGAAGGAATGGCCAAAAGGATCACTAGAAGAATTAGTGCAAAATGCTATAAAGACATGGGATATGGAAATCGAACACAAGATTCGCGTACAGGACATTCAGACCATCAACCCTGACACATTCAAGCTCATTGTTAATGGTTCATCTGACACATTCAAGCTCATTGTTAATGGTTCATCATCAAACCAAAACTCATGAATTTTATTCATGCATTTGATTTAAGTCATTAAATATACTTGGAAAAGGTAATAAGTTGCCTTTTAACCAAGCTTTGTATTACTAATTTGATTCAATAACAGGAAGAGAGGGATTGTCAGGCGAAGAGATAATTAGGCTTGGGAGCTACAACGCTTTGTTGAAGAATTCTCTGCCAGAGGAATTTGAGTACTGCAAAGCAGATGAAGAAACCTTCAAATCATCTCATGACGCCTTTCGATCTGCTTTGTCTAGAGGCTTTGCATGGGAAGTGCTGAGTGTATATTCAGGGCCTCCTGTGATCTCTTTCAAATTCAGACATTGGGGATTCTTTGAAGGACCTTTCAAAGGCCATGCTCCTACTGGACACAAGGTTTGAGTTCTATGGCTCGGGAGTCCTCAAGGTATGCTGTATAAATATTCAAAGCATCAGTATGGACAAGTAGCTTTCAACTGTAAATAATTCCACCTTTGGATTTTATCAACTATTATTCCAACTTGCCTACGTGCTATGATTTGATTGCAAATTAATTGACACATTAATCAAGCTCATCAGGTAAATCTTTTTGTTCAAGTAATCACACCTGGCATCGTGATTTCACTTTGAAAATGATTTGAATAATAATTAGCAGGCATTAAAAAACAACAATATACAAAAATTACTCACCAAATTAAAATGACCATATAATAGAGGTAAATAGCAGTGGTGACTACTGACAGCACCAACAACACCAAGGGCAGAATGGAATGCGGCTAATTCATTGAGGGGGAAAAAAATTGAAAGGAAAACCTAATACATGAACTGAAAAACTGAGAGATACTTGAGAAGATTTATAAATTACAGGAACAACTCCATTGACAAAAAAATCAAAATGATTTTCAGTAAGAAAGAAAGTAAAATGGGTTAATTGTAATTTTTACGGGTGATTCACAGGTGGATGAATCTATGAAGGCAGAAGAGGTGGAGATTTACTATGACCCGTCCGAGTTATTTGGAGGGCTCCTCAAAGGTAATTTGATTTCAAAATCTCAATCAGAATCAGAAGATAACACTGTCAACACTGCAACAGCAGCACATGGTTGTCCATTTTCCAAATAAATATGTACCTGGACATGCGTTGTCATTGTGTTATTTTGTTACTCTTGTTTGTACGATGAATCAAACTGGTTATTTACTTCTATCTGTGTATGTATGTCTATCCTTATGATGATGTAAACATTCAAATAAAGCATCAACATCTTGTTTCTTATGAGCAGATCATGTCAGTGTCCTTTATCTGGACATCTAGAGTTGACTTAAAATCATTGTTTACTTTTTTTGTTCTTACAAAAAAATAAGTAAAATATTTTTGTTTACGTAATAGGATTACAGATAAATAATATATTAAATTAATCAAAATAATGGTTGTTAGAACCTAATTTCTACCCTAATTAATTTATTTAAATTTGTGAGTTAAAAGAAAAAAAAAGAGATAGAAAAGAAAAAGGAAAAACAGAATTATTTGAAAAATGATTTGGAAGTTTAATTAAAAGAAATAGAAAGTTTGAGAATTAAAGAAAACCCAATTGAGGTTGCAACTCGAAAAGTCCAAAACCCTAAATCCCTTATTAAGAGAACTGAAGGGTACACTTGGGAGAAATTTTCTGATTAATTGCAATTTAGCTAGGGGTGCCATTCAAGTTCAAACAATCAAAATTGTACTTAAATTGATGAATTAGGAGGAATGAGGGACCATAATTAACCTTTACCTAAAAAGCCCTAATTTTCCCTATAAATACCCACCCTTTCTCTTTTTTTAGACCAATTACTATTTATAATTTCTTGCAAAATTTTGCAGCCATCATCTTCCTCCATCTAGCAGAACCCTAGCCTCCTCCACCACTAAAAATCGTTCATCCTTTTCCTAAACATCACAATTCCTCCATTATCCAAACCACCATCATCTATTAGAACCATTATTCATCATCTTCCCAAAAACTTGATAGCCACTATTCATCCTTCATTGTAGCCGAAACTTAGCTCCCCTCTACAAGTTTCCTCTTTCATTTTCCTTCTTGGCCAAATCCTCCACAAGCCACCACCACATAAAGCCATGCTTCTCCTTTCGTTTTCCCTTAGTTGAATCCTTTGTAAGCCATTATCACACAAAGGCGTGACCGTCTCCTCTATCTTTTTCCTCTCTCTCTCGACCGTAACAACACCAACATAGCCCTTAGCCATTTCTTAGCCGAGAGTTGTAGCTCCTCCTCTACACAAGCAAGCCAAACCATCCCTTTTTCTTCGACTTGAATCAATCCTTCTCCATTATAGCTTCATACCAAGTTCATCTCCTCCTCCTTTTTATCGAACTAGCCCTCCTCTTTTTAGCCAAGTCAGTTTTCTTCCATTATAGTCGAATATCAACCTCTCTTCTTCTCTTGTTTCTGCCGAGACACACACACTCACACACACTTCTAGTTATGAGTTACGGTAGCCCTCACTTTTCCTCAAACTCAACCCCTTTAAAAACCAGCTAAGTCTAAGAATGCACCAACGACCATTTGAACACCACCCAAGGACTTCTCCATTGCAGCCTCTCCTCCTCCACTATTTTAGCCTAAAAACACCTAGTATTGCAACTTTAATCTTGGACGGAATCAAGCCAAAATATGCAAAATATGTGGGTTGATTTATGTTTACGATAAACGAGAATTGGAATTAATTTTTGGATAGAACGATAAAAACATAAAAAACTATTATTTTGTTGGTTGTTGAGTTTGGTAAGAATAACACAATGTTGTAAGTGGCAACCCTCTTGCTACTAAGTCCTTCAACCTTGACAATAACCTATTCTAACGACCTCGTTGCTACGAAGTCCCTCTCAATAATAATCCATGCCAACAACCCTATTACTACCAAGTCCCTCTTGGCCATAACCCAAGCAAGCAATCCCATTTTTGCTAAGTTCAACTCGAAAGTAACTTTGATAGTAGTATTAACTTTGATAATCGATAGTGACTTTGATAGCAATAGTAAATTTAATAACTAGTAACAACTTTGACAACCAGCGAGTAACATTGACAATCGATAGTAACTTTAATAACCGATAGACGGTAGTAATTGCAAACTTCGACCATCATAATAGTAGCCACCAAAGTGGCAACCACCCTAGCAAAGCCCACATAACATTTTGATAATGGGTAGCTGCTTTCTTTACTTAGCTAACTAAATAATCGGTTTTCATCGGGGATAAAGAGAGTGCAATTGACCTAAAATCAAACCTTTGGACAAATTCAGAACCTTTTGAAATATTTTGGATAACAATTATTAAATAATTATATCTTTTTAAATTATGGATGAAAATTATTGCATTTTATTTATGGTTTCATTATTTCTAAATGAATGAGATGAATATTGCATTGATTGTGATTATTAATGAAATTTAAAATGTAATTAGATACACCATTGTGTATCGAATCCAAAAAGGATGGAGACCTTAGGCATTTTAAAGTGAAACAAGATTGGTGATCATTGCTATATGATGGGGCTAGGAGGTGCGGGATTAGGATTTAATTTCAATGATCGATCTAGGACAAATGCTGATCCCGGTGTTTGCATATTTATATGATATCGTTGTTTATATTATGATTTGGTATGAGTGGTTGCGATGTGTTGAATACATAATATACATGACTAATGAATATTATTTTGATTTTTAATCATTTAAATGAAGCCATTGGTGGCTTTCCACTTATGTGATAAAGTCGGAAGTGGTTTCAAAATCATTTTCTCTATTTTTTGCTCGATTGAAATAAAGTCATCGATGGCTTCCCACCTATATGGATGAAGGCTGCCGATAGCTCTAAAATCATTTTTATTTGATTTTTGATCGCTAAAATGAAGTCTGTCGGTGGCTTTTTACGAATATGACAAAGCCATAAGTGGTTTTTAAATCATTTAACCTATTTTTTGCTCATTTGAAACAAAGCTATCAATGGCTCCCTACCTATTGGGTCGAAACTGCTTGTAGCTTTCAAATCTTTTTCATTTTGATAATTTCTTTTATGAGTGGCGATCACAAGAGCCTCACCATTTTTATTCTATTAAATATTTTCTCGTTATGGGCTTGAGTCGAAGAGACTCATCACTTTTATTATCTTAAATGATTTCTATTATGGATTTGAGTCATAAGAGCTCGTCACTTTTATTCTATTGAATGTTTTCTATTATAGGCTTGAGTCACAAGAGACTCATCGCTTTTATGACTCAAGAGACTCGTCACTTTTATTTTGTTGAATTGTTTCTCTTATAGGCTTGAGTCATAAAAGGCTTGCCACTTTTATTATATCGAATGTTTGTTGTTATGGGCTTGACTCACAAAAGACTTATCACTTTTATTCCGTCAAATGATTTCGTTATGGACTTAAGTCACAAGAGACTCTGTACTTTTATTATGTCAAGAGATTTCTATTATGGGCTTGAGTTACAAGAGACTCATCATTTTCATTCTATTAAATGCTTCATATTATGGGCTTGATTCATAAGAGACTCGTCACTTTTATTTTATAAAATGATTTCTATTAAAGGCTTGAGTTACAAGATTCACATCACTTTTATTCCGTCGAACATGTCTATTATGGGCTTAAATCATAAGAGATTTGCTACTTTTATTCCGTCGAACATTCCTTTATGGACTTGAGTCATAAGAGACTCATCACTTTTGTTCCGACATAACATCTTTGTTATGGGTTGCATTCATAAGGAACTCACCATTTTCATTTTGATGATTTTTTATAGACCCGAGTCACATGAGATTTGCTATTTTGATTCCGACGAACATATTTGTTATGGGCTACAGATCACGAGGATTGGCCATTTTCATTTTGATGATTTCTTTTATGGATTTGATTCATAAGAGATTTTTCATTTTTATTCCGAAATAACATCTCCGTTATGTGCTACTGATCATAAATGACTCATCATTTTTATTTTGGTGATTTCTTTTATAGGATTGAGTCATAAGAGACTCACCATTTTTATTCTGTCATAACATTTCGTTATGGGCTTGAGTCATAAGGCACTCATCACTTTTATTCTTTAAATGATTTTTTTATGCTTGTTGGTGGTATCCCATTTATGTGAATGGAGTCACCGATAACCATCCTTCTCCATTTCTTTACTTGTATGAATAAAAATTTTCAAGTGAATTCCTATTTATATAAATGAAGTCATCGATAGTTTTTTAATTATATCAATATGGACTCATAATCCGAAAAAGCTCACCTTTTGCTAATACGGAGTTTGCGATCACTAGGGTTTTAGCCAAAATTCAATTCTTATCCACTTTTCCTCTTTTGAGTATAGGTATTAGATTTGAACCAGCCTAAACCCCGAATTACTTTATCATTCTATCCAAATTAAATAAATTCAGTTAAATAGGTATAGAAACATAACATAATAAAATCATATTTTTATTTTTGCATATATTCAATGCGACTTACCTCGGTAGAACAAGATGACGGTGATATTATATCTTCTTCTTCATACATAATCGAACCCTTACTTAGATATCTATATAGACTAATTTCTTTTAAGGTTTCTTAGTTCTTCCTGATAGCTAGGTGGTAGCTCCCATCGCCCGTGCCTCTCTATGGACCTCATCGATAGAATGATGACTCTACTAGGGACTATACCATTCTAGGGTCAATTTTTGAGTATTTGTGTTAATAAATCTCTATTTTTTTTGTTATGCTTCTATGCCTATATGTTTTAAGTAAATAATTACCATTTAATTATTTTTAGTTTATCTATGTTATGAAAATATGCACACACACACACACACACACACACACACACACACACACACACACACACACATATATATATATATATATATATATATATATCGTGTGTGTGTGTGTGTGTTATTTGTGTTGCTTTTCTTTATAGTTTTAGTTATTTAATTCTTAAGCCTCTATTTTATATTTTGAGACTTGGATATGGAGTTATGCCCCACACATGACACTCGTATTTGCATATTTAAACTATATACATTTTGCATCGGGATGTAGGAAGTTAGTAGTTGTACATCAATGGGGTTTGTCCTAGGTAAACACTCACGAAACCTTAAGCTTTCTTGTTAGTTGTCATTGATGTGGGTAATTGATGATTTTTTTATTTCTAATGTTACCCTGGATAGTTCTAGTCATTTTACTAAAGATTCACTATATAGAAAGGTACTTTTTTAGACTTAGTTATAGTGGCTAGAGTTGAACTTTAAGATCATCATTTCTCGATTAAATGTACTAGGTAAGTCAAACATGTTTGAAACCTTAACTAAGATAACTTGGACTTGATGTTTTAAGATGGGTGACAAAAGAGTTCGGACTCGGTTCAAGTAAGCATGAATTAAAAGTATCAAAAGTTACTAATTTGAATAATCATATCTTTTATCACTCTTGATAGATGACTACTCCATATCCACTCTCAAGTGTCTTTATTTATGCCAATATTATTTATGTCTGTTGTGTTTCATTAATTTACATGTTTATGCATAGAAACATAAGTCATCCTGTCAAAAGCTGCATTTTCCCCAAAGACTTGACAACTCAAGCCAAAGAAAAAATGAACAATGAAGAAAGAGCTCAACTCGAGCAAAGACACCAAAAGAAGTTAGGTGCATTGAAAGAAGAAGTGTTTAGGCTAGCTACTTTACTTGAGTAAAGTTTACAAACTCACGCATCTATTAAAGTTCCTTCTAATAAGGAAATATGTTATTCATCTACTATCCAGGAGACCATATAGATACTTACTATTCGAGTGGCAATTACTCGTGTCATTTTTCTCTACCTTCTCACCAAGAAAATGTTAGCATTATGAATCCAACCAGCCATACTACACCTAGGGCCATATATAAGCCAGCTCATCCTAATGTCTCTAATTTGATTCCATAACAACCATATACTTTGTAAACTCAAACAACTCTTATGATTAATTTGGTTGCTAATGAAAAGATGAAAGAAAAAATGAGCTTAGAAGCCGACATTGAGAAGCTTCATGCTAGTAAGAAACATAGAGTCATTGAGGGGGTGAAAATGTACGATCCTCTTTTGATGGTGGAAAAATGCTTGATTCTAAATGTCATGATTCCTAAGAAATTCAAAGTGTGAATTCTTTAAATACACTAAGAGTCAATGTCCTAGAACTCATCTTAGGATTTATTCAAACAAGATGATCGAGGT